ATTCTTAAGTAATTAATAATTTACGAATCCAGCAACAATTAATCTAATTTAAGAAATTATTGGAGCAATAGCAACTCTCGTAACGGCAGTGATTAATCATTTTGTTTGAACGGAAAAATGCCGCACTAATGTGATTCTTATAACTCAAGTGGTGTACTGCATTCAGGACCAACTGAAATAAAAAAATTGTTTTAAATTGCATAATAATTTACTTTTAAATATCATAATAATGATTTAATTAAAAAAAGTTGAATATTGTTTGTACCTACTTTTTATGCCTTTGAAAATAATTAACTGCTACTTCGTGATAAAAAAAATGCAAAGAATATGGTTGTTGAAGTTTCGCCTTTGTGAATTTTTCGTCCTCATAATTCGTCAAAATTCTTTAAATATTCATAAAAAAAAATAAGAACTTAAAATAATGGATTAAATGAAAATAAAAACATTCTTTTGTATCTTAAAGAAAAAATTCTATTATTAAAATTGCTCAACTTTAACTTTTAGTTTTTTAAGTGTTGAACTTGTGTTTAAAGTAACTGAATTAAAAAAATACATATAACAATTATTTAGATTCTGTTATTCTTTTTTTTGAAGAATGCTTAAAAATCGCTCCATATATGCACATCTTTCATCTTTTTTTATCAAATATTCTAAATATTTATAATCTGTTTCAGTTTTTTTCTTTCTACTCTGTTTAATTATTTTTGTTGGTTCTTCATCGTCGCTTGATGATTCTCCATTTTTTGTGCGCTTCTTTGAATTAACAAATTTACTTGTTTTAAAGCCTGTAATATTTGATGAAGTGGCAACTGGAAGTATTTCTGGTTTCTCAAACATTATATTGTGCATTAATTCATAATATTCCCATTTCGCAGAGCCCCCTCCTGAAGCCTCCCTTCTTTCTTTTTGTTTCTTATAAGTTTTTTCAAACTTTTGAACTTCTCCATGCAATCTTGTTTGACATATTTACAGCCAGCGATTTCATTCAGTTTTCGCGAGGTCATTTCCCATAGCGTTTTAGGTAGTTTCTTTTTATTTGCCTCATTTCCCCATATTTCTTCATAGCTCGCAATTAAAGCCTTAACTTTTTCAGAAGGCCAGAAACAAATATCATTCTCCTTTTTTAAAAGCTAAAATCTTCTCAATAGTTTTTAAAAGATATCAAAGTGATCAACACTTAATTTATTTAAAAATAAAAGCATTATTTAAAATTACAGATTCCTGGGACTCTCGTTTTGAATGCAAACGGAAAATAAGATTTTTATATAATCAGAAAATTATTTCTATTGTCAGGATAGGAAAAAAAAATTAATTTTTAAAAGCTAAACATATCTTAAAAATCTTCAGGACGGATCAAATTGATCAACACCTAATTTATTAGAAAATAAAGGCATTATTTATAATCTCAGATAAGACGCAACTCTCGTTTTAAATGCAAACGCAAAATGAGGTTGTTTTTTAAGCAGGAAACTTTTTCTAGAGTACAAAAACGATTCAAAATATTCCTTTTTAATAGTCAAATTCTTCTCAATAATTTTGAAGAGGGATCAAAGTAATCAACACTTAATAAAACTTAATAAAACACTCGAGGATTCAAACAACTCTCGTTTTAAAAGCAAACACAAAGTTAGGTTTTTCTATGACCAGGAAATTTTTTTAATAGTCCGGAAACGATTAAACATCTTCCTTTTCAAAAGTCGAACGCTTTTCAATAATTTTTTAAAGGAATGAAAGTGATAATCACTTAATTTATTTAAAAATAAAAGCACAATTTACACTCGTAGAGTCAAACGTCTCTCGTTTTAAATGCAAACGCAAAGTTAAGTTTTTCTATGATCAGGAAATTTTGTCTATAGTCCGGAAAAGATTGAAAATCTTCCTTTCTAAAAGTCAAACACATATCAATAATTTTTGAGAGGGATCAAAGTGATCACCACTTAATTTATTCAATAATAAAAGCACTATTTACACTCGTGGATTCGACTGACTCTCGTTTTAAATAAAACTTAAAGTTAGGTTTTTTTAAGTTCAGGAAATTTTTTCTATAGTCCGGAAACAAAGAAAAATTTTCCTTTTTAAATCTCAAACAAATATAAATAATTTTTAAGAGGGATCAATTTATCACCGCTTAATTTATTTAAAAATAAAAGCACTATTTACACTCGTGGATTCGAACGACTTTTGTTTTGAATCAAAACGCAAACATAGGTTTTTCTAAGTTCAGAAAATTTTTTCTATAATCCCACAACTAATGAAAATTTTGCTTTTTAAATCTTAAACAAATAGAAATAACTTTTAAGAGGGATCAAGTGATCACCGCTTAATTTATTTAAAAATAAAAGCACTAATTACACTCGCGGATTCGAACGTCTCTCGTTTAAAATGCAAACGCAAAGTTAGGTTTTTTTATGGTCAGGAAATTTTTTCTATAGTCGGGAAACGATTAAAAATCTTTCTTCTTTAATCTCAAACAAATATCAATCATTTTTAAGAGGAATCAAAGTCACCACCACTTAATTTATTTAAAAATAAGAGCACTATTTGAACTCGTGCTTCAAACGTCTCTCGTTTTAAATCCAAACGCAATGTTAGGTTTTTCTCAGTTCAGGAAATTTTTTCTATAGTCCGGAAATGAATGAAAATCTTTCTATTTAAATCTTAAATACATATCAATAATTTTTAAGAGGGATCTAAGTGATCGCTGCTTAATTTATTTAAAAATAAGATTACTATTTACACTTGTGGATTCGAACGTCTCTTGTTTTAAATCCAAACGCAAAGTTAGGTTTTTCTATGATCAGGAAATTTTTTCTATATTTCGGAAACGATTAAAAATCTTCCTATTTGAATCTTAAACACATATCAATAATTGTGGAAAGGTATCAAAGTTTATCTATTTAATCTATTTAAAAATTTAAACACTATTGACACTCGTGGATTCAAACGACTAATGTGGTTTTTTTAGTTCGGAATAATCGGTCAAAAGTATTCAAGCATGAATCGACAGTTATAAAATAGTCAAGGAAGAAGATGTGAATCTTTTCGAAGTTAAAATCGAGTTTCTTTCAGAAAAAATCATTTTTTTAAGGCCCAATGTTTTCGTCCGCGGACTAATGTGGTTTTTTTAGTTCGGAGTAATCGGTCAAAAGTATTCAAGCCAGAATCTACAGTTAAAAATAGTCAAGGATAAAATTGTAAATTTTTTCGAAATTAAAATCGAGTTTTTTCAGAAATAAACATTTTCTTGAGGCCTAATATTTTTGTCCTGCGGACTAAAGTGGTTTTTTTAGTTCGGAATAATCGGTCAAAAGTATCCAAGCATAAATCGACAGTTATAAAATAGTCAAGGAATCACTCTAAATCTGAATCAGTGAAAATTTCACTGATTGATTTAGTAATCAATAATTTCACTGAAAAATCAGTTAATTTTAATAATTTAACTGATGTGTCAGTAAGACGAACTTTCATCGTTACCGACGCGACGTGAGTTGGTGAACGTTATAAATTGAAATGACACTGAATGCATATTGATTTTAAATTGTCATTGAAACATAAATTTCTCTATATAAACAAAATACTGTTTATTCATTTATTCGTGAAAAGATATTAACATATTTTGTTCTGAATAATTTTTAAATCCTGATCTACGATAATTGCAATTTTTGATATATCGAATCGTTCGAGCTATCGATGTACATTTTGTGTTGTTTGCTTGCGGCTTGTCAAGTTTAGCGTCACTATGCACATTGTTTTTCATTTGGATTTTTAGAAGGAAAATTATTTACTGTTGATAAAAGGAAAGTGAGATTATTGAGGAAAATCAAGGTAAGTATTAATTAATTATGTTTACTAAGTCATTACTGCAAAAAGTAACTTTTACCAATGATGTTAAATTTTGTACTATTAAACATAACCTCAAATTTGTTTTTTTCATAAATGTGCCTATTATTAAAAAAATATAATTAATTTTTAAAAAAAATTAAATAATTAATAAATAAATTAATTAATTAATTGGATTTCTGCGAACAATTTAACTATTTACAAAAGTAATTGAATCCTTCAAAAGAATGTTATTATTTATGAAAATAATGAAATGTTTACGTAGACTTAGAATTTTAAGAAAATTTTTGAAAATAATTGAATTGTGGAGAACCATTTTTTTTATTTATAGAGATAATTAAAATTTAAGAATTTAACAAAATTTTTAAACATAATTTAATTGTTTTTCCCTCCCTAGAGGTTTCAAGACCTTGCCGTTGGTGGGAGGTGCACGAGGGGCTTTTACCCAGTGGGAGGCTACTTCTCGATATCTCTCGTGGGGACTGAGGGGGCGAACCCTTCAAAATGGGTCGGCCGCTACAGAAACCGAATCTTCTGTGTTTCGCTGGGCAGTGTCTCAGGGCACGGGGATTTAGAGGGATATCGAGAGAGACGGGATGGACAGAGGCTTAACCGCGGGTCCATTCCGAAGACTTCCTACTGGTGGAAGTCTGACCAAGAAGAAACCCTTCCATGGTTACGTTGGCTGTGCCATGGTGATTGAGGCGCGAGTCTCTGCCACCCAATCCGTGATGAACTCGTGTCCATGGATGAATGATACTAGGGTTAACAAATCCGTCGGGTTCTTCCGTGGGGAGGGGGTTGGACGGGGGACGACCTTCGCTGGGCACAATTAACCGTAAACCGTAAAGCTCGGGAACGGTTGTGTTACAGGAAGGGCCCGTCTTCTGGACGACCCGTCCCCGGGGTGGGGCTTGAATGGAGGTATCTTGAACGAGACTCTGAGATACCAGGCGAACTTTCAGATGTAATTTAGCCTTTTCCTTAAATAGAGGCTCTTTAAGGAATGACCTTTCTTTCCTCTTTTCTCGTGGGACCATAATGGATACTACAGAAACTAATAAAAATAAAACCACACACGTGAGCGTCGAAGAGCCCTTTTGGGGGATCACGATGCTGACGATCAAGGTGTGGACGCGACAGAGGGGACCGTGAGTCAGTCTTAAATATGGCTGCTTCCGGGATCCACTGTATGCAGATTAACTTGCATCATTGTAAGGGCGCTTCGGCGATTTTAGCCAAGAACTTTGCAAGGATGCAGGCAGCTATAGCCTTTGTTCAAGAACCTTGGGTTTACAAGGGTAAGATTAGAGGTCTAAGTGGCGGTGGGGTGCTAGTCAGTTCACCACAGGAACCAGTTCCAAGGGCTTGTCTGATCTATAAAGGTCTAGATGCTTTCCCTCTATTGGAATTAACTACCAGGGACTTAGTTGTTGTTAAGGCTAAGTACCTAGAAAAGAACGGAAATAAAAGGGAGGTTGTAGTAGCTTCCGCATATTTTCCGGGATCGGGGGATGACCCCGCACCACCTGCAGAGGTGGAGAAGTTGGTAGATTACTGTCAACGGCAAGGTCTCCCATTAATAATAGGTTGTGATGCCAATGCGCACCTCAAGGCCTCCATGGCATGCTTCCCCACTTCCTATGGAACGATGGAGGAGTTAGAGCTTGCAGCGGAATATCTGCGAGATTCTATTATCTGTTCCTTTGAAAGGAACTGTGTAGTTAAGAAAATGGGCTTCAATGGGGGCGGTAAATGGTGGACCCCCCGTTTGGAGGAACATAGGAAAACTGTAAGAAAGCTTTTTAATAAAGCCAAGAAACGTAGGCATCAGCGAGCATGGGATGAATATCATACCGCTCGCGATTCTTATAAGAAAGAAGTAGATAGGGCAAGGGGTGTCAGCTGGAGAAGTTTTTGCGAGGGAATCGAGAGGGTACCAGAAGCTTCAAGACTTCATAAAGTACTAGCTCGAGACCCAATGGCAAAATTAACTACTATTAAGCTGCCTAATGGGCAGTATGCCCAGGATAAAAGGGAGTGTCTAAAGCACCTGATGGGAGTAAACTTCCCGGACTTTAGAGAAGGTTTGGAGAACAGCCAGGGCATAGGACCAGGTAGGAACCGAGGATATCGGGAACACTGGAAACTAGCAGCCAGGGTTGTAACTCCGGAAGGGATTGATTGGGCAATAAGCACTTTCAAACCATTTAAGGCTTCAGGGGGGGACGGTATATATCCGGTTCTTTTGCAAAAGGGATTGGATTGTATTAGAGTACCCCTGTGTAAAATTATGAGAGCATGTATAGCTCTTGGTTATACACCGGAGTCTTGGAAAAAGACGAGGGTTGTGTTTATTCCGAAGGCCGGTCGGTCAGGCTATACTGCGGCGAAGGACTTCAGGCCAATCAGCCTAACTTCCTTTATATTAAAGACGTTAGAGAAACTGGTGGATAAGTTTATTAGACAGGAATGTCTTAGAGATTTTCCCCTACATCAGGGACAGCATGCATATAGAGCAGGCTTCTCAGTAGAAACAGCCCTCCATTCGGCAGTAGGTAGAATAGAGGGACAAATTAGCAGTGGTTGTTATGCGGTTGGTACCTTTCTTGATATCGAAGGTGCCTTCCCTAACACCTCTAGCAAAACTATCTGCAGGGCAGCCAGAATGCGAGGTGTGCCCGAGCCGCTAGTTAAGTGGATCGACAGCATGCTTCGCGAAAGGGCCCTGGAGGCAGAGTATGGTGAGGCCAAGGTAACCGGCCTTGTCTCAAAAGGGTGCCCACAGGGAGGAGTTCTCTCTCCTTTATTGTGGTGCTTAGTGGCAGATGAGTTAATTAGAAACCTCAATAGCCAGGGATATTATACGCAAAGTTATGCGGATGATTTCCTTATAATTATAAGAGGGCACTCAATTGAGACCCTCTTAGAACTTACGGAACGTGCGCTTAAGATTGTCAAGGATTGGTGCAATCTGACTGGACTTTCTGTAAACCCAGAGAAAACGAATATAGTAGTTTTCACAAGAAAATATAAGGTACCGAGTTTGAAGAAACCGATATTTTATGGAAAAGAGATTTCCTTTTCTGAATCGGCTAAGTATCTGGGAGTAATCCTGGATAAAAAGCTGGTTTGGAGGGAACATTTCGAATATCAGTATAGCAGGTTTTGTACCGCGTTTTGGGCGTGTAGAAGGGCGATAGGGTCATCATGGGGACTAAGGCCTAATATGGTCAACTGGCTCTATCAGATGATCTTAAAACCAAGGTTTCTTCACGCGGTGGTTGTCTGGTGGTCCAGGACTCAACTGATAACGGTTAAAGAGAAACTGGGCCAACTGCAAGCAATGATTTTCAGGGGTATTACGGGGGCAATGAGGACCACGTTTATTCCGAAGGCCGGTCGGTCAGGCTATACTGCGGCGAAGGACTTCAGGCCAATCAGCCTAACTTCCTTTATATTAAAGACGTTAGAGAAACTGGTGGATAAGTTTATTAGACAGGAATGTCTTAGAGATTTTCCCCTACATCAGGGACAGCATGCATATAGAGCAGGCTTCTCAGTAGAAACAGCCCTCCATTCGGCAGTAGGTAGAATAGAGGGACAAATTAGCAGTGGTTGTTATGCGGTTGGTACCTTTCTTGATATCGAAGGTGCCTTCCCTAACACCTCTAGCAAAACTATCTGCAGGGCAGCCAGAATGCGAGGTGTGCCCGAGCCGCTAGTTAAGTGGATCGACAGCATGCTTCGCGAAAGGGCCCTGGAGGCAGAGTATGGTGAGGCCAAGGTAACCGGCCTTGTCTCAAAAGGGTGCCCACAGGGAGGAGTTCTCTCTCCTTTATTGTGGTGCTTAGTGGCAGATGAGTTAATTAGAAACCTCAATAGCCAGGGATATTATACGCAAAGTTATGCGGATGATTTCCTTATAATTATAAGAGGGCACTCAATTGAGACCCTCTTAGAACTTACGGAACGTGCGCTTAAGATTGTCAAGGATTGGTGCAATCTGACTGGACTTTCTGTAAACCCAGAGAAAACGAATATAGTAGTTTTCACAAGAAAATATAAGGTACCGAGTTTGAAGAAACCGATATTTTATGGAAAAGAGATTTCCTTTTCTGAATCGGCTAAGTATCTGGGAGTAATCCTGGATAAAAAGCTGGTTTGGAGGGAACATTTCGAATATCAGTATAGCAGGTTTTGTACCGCGTTTTGGGCGTGTAGAAGGGCGATAGGGTCATCATGGGGACTAAGGCCTAATATGGTCAACTGGCTCTATCAGATGATCTTAAAACCAAGGTTTCTTCACGCGGTGGTTGTCTGGTGGTCCAGGACTCAACTGATAACGGTTAAAGAGAAACTGGGCCAACTGCAAGCAATGATTTTCAGGGGTATTACGGGGGCAATGAGGACCACGCCAACAGCTGCGTTGGGATTCATGCTTGCCGAGGCACCTCTGCATATTGCCGCGGTGAAAAAGGCGGCTCTTACTATGAGCAGGTTAACTGTGCAGGGAAGGTGGAAGGTTGGTGGTATACACACCAAGCTTCCACGCTCAATTCTATCAATACCAGAATTAAGTATGGTGCAAGATAGAATGATCAAGAGGGTGAAATTTAAACCCCGCTTTAAGATCATTACACCTTCCAGAATGGACTGGAAGAAAGGTTTTCCACTTGGGGACGAAGTCTGGTATACAGACGGCTCCAAGATGGACTGCGGTGCAGGCTTCGGAATTTATCGGAAAACTGGCTGCATTAAAGTGGCTGAGTCATTAGGACAACATGCCACGGTCTGGCAGGCAGAGGTCTGTGCGATTTTAACTTGCGCCCAAATATCCATTCGAAATGGAACAAAGGGCAAGAGGATTAGTATTTGTGTGGACAGTCAAGCGGCCTTAGGGGCTCTGAAAAATCCCACAATAGAATCAAAACTCGTCTGGGAATGCCGCAGCGTACTAGATGAGTTGGGTTCAGCAAATAGACTTTCACTGATTTGGGTACCGGGTCACTCGGGAATCAAGGGTAATGAAAGAGTAGACGTCTTGGCGAAAACCGGTTCCGAGACGAAATTTATAGGTCCTGAACCAGCAGTGGCAATAATGCCATGCTTGGTTAAGGGAGCCATAGAAAGATGGGGTGAAAAGGAACATGAGAAGTATTGGGCGAACGTTGGGGTGGGAAGGCAAGCGAAAACTCTGTTGGGGTTAGCACTCAACAAGAGGCGAGCGAGCGATCTCCTAAAACTCGATAAGATCAGAGTTAGAACCGTAGTTCGTCTACTTACGGGTCATGGACTATTGAACTACCATCAGCATAAAATAGGCAGACAAGTTTCACCTATGTGCAGACTGTGTGGGGAAAGTAACGAAACTTCAACTCACATATTATCTGAATGCCCAGCGTTAGCTAGGATCAGGCTATCTAGCTGGGGTCAAGCAATTATTGACCCTAAGCAGGTGAGCAACCTATCGATAGAAGAGATACTGGACTTCTGGAGAAGAACAGGACTCTAAGGGGTTGCTATAAACGAGCGAGCTGGAGTCTGGTACAATGGGTTCTATAACCTAGGTGCTTACTTTCCCCTCTTGAGGAAAATCCAGCTCGATCTCGGTATTAGATTAGATTAGATTAGATTAATTGTTTTCTAGAATTTTATGAAAATAAATGAATTCTTGTGAAGAAGTTTTTTTAAAAATAATATTCAAAAAAACTTAGTAAATCTGAAGGATTTTGCTATTTATGGAAATAAATGAATTCTTGAGAATAATTTTTTTACAGTTTTAAAAATAATTACATTTTTCGAGAAATTCGATTAAAAATGTATTAAAAATAATTGAAATTCTGCAATGAGTTTTACTATTTAGTATTTTTGAAAGTAATTGAATATATTGCGAAGAAATTTTTAAAAATAAAATTAAAATTCCGTTGACTAACTTCCTTCAATTATTTTCGAAAAATTTAAATAAAATTCTTTAATAGAATTTAATTATTTCTAATAGAATGTAAAGAAATTACAATTATTTAAAAAAAATTCAATTATTTGTTTATAAAAATTCAATTATCTTCAATCAATAGAATTGAAAAATTTTAAAAATCTTATTTTTCAGAATATTTAAAAAAATTTTGGGAAATTTTAATTTTATTTTAAAAATTGAAGTTTTTAATGAAATTCTTTAATAAATTTAATTATTTTCAGTTGAATTTTACAAATTTGCTCGAGACAATGGATTCTTTCAAAAACTTGAACGAAGAAGAATTAATTGCAAAATTGTCTGGAATATTAGATGAGAATACTTTGAATAAAATCGAAGGTTCGTACGAATATTAGTATTTTTTTAATATAATTACTTAAAATACTTCCTAATTAATTTTTTATATAATGATTGTATCTATAAAAAGTAATTAATAAAAGTAATTCGTAGTTTTATAAAGTAATTTTTTTAAAACTCTTTATATTACAAGAATCAATTTATATAAAATTTTTTCACGTTATTTCATATAAATTAATTTTCTATTTTTTAGGAAACCATTAAATATTATCAGAAACGTTGATTTTAGATTTTACATTTGTTAATGTTAATGGTAGAATTTTTTTTAAAAAATGGATAAACTTACTTGCTATTTATGCAACAAACAAATAAGTAATGGCGTGAATGGATTACTAAATCATTTCAAATTTATACATGGCTTGACTGTAAACAGAGGTTTAGAGGGTTCAATGTTTCAATGTGCTCAAAATGGTTGCAGAAAAAGTTTCGCTTTATTTAGTTCATTTCGTAAGCATTTAAAAAAAGATCATTTGATACGTGATCAAAATGTTGAAGGAGATGAAAATATAATTCGTGTCCAAAACGAGCCCGTCGATATGGATGTTGTTCACAACTTAGTTGACGGAGACGATATTGTAGAAGATCATATTAATAATGACGATATTCTCAACAATGATGATGAAGATGAAAATATTGATGAGTTCGATCTTCGACTTTCAATCATAAGAATGATTTCTCGATTTCAGGCTAATCCGTCTGTGACGGGAAATATAATAACAGATGCTATGGATGAAAGCGAAGAAATTTTAATGGGAACAGTAAAATTTTTACAGTCGAATGTGAAAAAATTTCTAAAAGCTAAAAATATATATGAGGATGAAGATTCTCAAGAATTATTGAAACTATTTGATTTAAAAAGTCTATTTGATGATCTGCGTTTGTTAAATCAACAAATAAATGCTTTCAAGTGTAATTATAATTTTATTGACGCTCGAGAAATACCATTGGGTCAACGAATTGATAATGTACTGGATAGCGAGTCTGGAACCTTGGTGCCTAAGACTGTGTTTGAAACTTTTCAATACGTTTCAATTATAGACGTTATAACTTTGATAATGCAAAATAAAGAAGTCTGAGAAGCAATTTTATCAGAAAAGGAATCGGATGACGGTTTCATATGTTCGTTTATGGATGGAAAAACTTTTAAAAATAATCTATTTTTTCAGCGCTATAAAAATGCAATTCGAATTGAACTCTATTATGACGATGTAGAAATTGTCAATCCCTTAGGTTCTAAAACTGGGATTCACAAAATGGGAGTATTTTCGTTTAGAATTCAAAATCTGCCTAGGCATATGAATTCTAGTTTAGGCAGTATTTATACATTATGCTTAGGTTATGCTGAAGATCTTAAAAAGTATGGGTTCGAAAAAGTTCTTAAGCCATTTCTACTAGATCTGAGAAAATTGGAAAGCGATGAAGGCGTTTCTGTAACAATAGAGGACGAGGTATTCATTCTTCGAGCTACAATTGCTTCTTTTTGTGCTGATGGTCTTGCTGCCCATGAAGTTACTGGTCTTTTTGGACCTTCAGCAAATTTGTTTTGCAGATCGTGTATGATTTCAAGAGAAAATTTACATGATGGAAATTTGGATCCAGTTGAAGAAAGAACTGAAGAATTATTTACGGAACATTTGCGACGGATTGCAAATGCAAGAAATAAAAATGATGTAATATCTGCGACCGGTGTTCGCCAGGATTGTGCATTGAATACTTCAAAATATTTCCACATGGCAAAAAATAAAGTATTTGATGTCATGCACGATTTACAAAAAGGAGTTATACCAATGGTTATCAAAAGAGTGCTTCACGAATTCATTTTTGTTAACAATTTCTTCAACGCTGCATTTTTAAATGGGCAAATAGTTTCATTTCAATATGGATTTGTCGAAAGTAAAAACAAACCATCAGCTAACTTCACCGAAGAAAATCTTCGTCATATTGGGGACCATTCAATGAATCAAAAAGCCTCACAAGCTTGGTCATTGCTCCGTGTATTACCTTTCTTACTTTCTGATAAAGTACCGAAAGGTAATAAACATATGAATATAATTTTATTGCTTAAGCGAGTAATGGAAATTTGTATGGCTCCAAAATTGACAAAAAGTTTATTACCATACTTGAAATCTTTGATAAATGAATTTATTCACGAATATAAAAAACTTTTCCCAGGTGAACATATGATAAATAAATTTCATCACATAAAGCATTACCCGGAATGTATATCATACTCAGGACCAATTGTCTACTTCAGTTGTATAAGACATGAGGGAAATCATAATATTCTTAAGAAACGTGCTCACGTTATGAACAATTTTAAAAATTGTCCAAAAAGTTTAATACGAATTTGCCAAAGCTCACAAAGTGCTGCATGGGGTGTAGGGGATATGAAAATAAAAAATATAAAAAGTGAAGGAGGACAGTTAATTAAAGTAGAAGACACTTTAAGCCAATCGCAATTTAATGATCTGGGTTACTTGGATAATGACGTCGTATTCAGAACGAGATCAGTCAAAGTAGATGGAGTTACCTTCAGAAAGGGATTATTTGTTTGCTTGAAGGCAAAGGACACTTTTGAAATAAATTTGCCCTTATTTGGTGAAATTTCAGAAATATTTATTTTGGAGCACTCAAAAGTTTTTTTACGAATCATATCTTGCACAACTCTTCATAAAGATATTGAGTTAAATTCTTTTGCAATCCAACGTGGACAAGAGGAATTCGATCTTGTTTATTTCATTGAACACAATAAACTTGCTCATTATAAGCCAATGAACGCATGGATTGAATCGACATCCAAAAAAATATTTATTAATCTTCGTCACATTATTTTATAGATATTATTTACATAAATGTACATTATTTCAGAGGAGAAAATTGACGGGAACATATTTCTTCAACTAACAGAAGATGATCTGAAAGATATGAAAATAAATATTGGACCAAAAAAGAAGATATTAAATATTATTAAAGAAAGTCAACTAACAAATTCAGTAAGTATAATTAACACTCATATTTTATTAATATAACAAACATATGTAACATATTAATAAAATATTGTTTCAGATTCAACATGTGGGCCAATACGTAGTAACTCAATCAGGCGAACTAGAGAAAGTCGTCGCTTGGGGGCAGCAACATGCCGACTTAGCTAAACGGTGAAAAAGATGCCGTTTCAAAAGAAAAGTGAAAAACATGCCATTTCACGAAACCTGTGGAAACTATGCCTCGCCGCGAAAGCGCTGAGAAACATACCTTGTCCAAACGAACGGTGAAGAACATGCCTTTTCAGCCTTTTTAATATAATATTAACAGTTGAAAAGGCATGTTATTCACCGTTCGTTTGGAGAAGGTATGTTTCTCAACGCTTTCGCGGCGAGGCATAGTTTCCACAGGCTTCGTGAAATGGCATGTTTTTCCCTTTTCTTTTCGAAACGGCTTCTTTTTCACCGTTTAGCTGAGTCGGCATGTTGCTGCCCCCAAGCGATGAAGTAACTAATGAAGATACATCACAGACAAAAAATTTAGATAATTTACAATTAACTACGGAACCAAAGCCTGGAACTTCTGGCAGCGTTTCTTCTTCTTCTTCGAAGATAGTACAACCAACTTCAGCATATTCAGTAATTATTTATTCAATATATTTCAAACAGGGTGTCTAACTGTTACGGAAAATTCAAGAAGATAATATTTACAGACAGAGAAATTTCTATGAATTTAACCTTCGCGCTACCAAAGATTTTTGTATACGCGGGCTACCGGATGGCCACCCGGGGTGGCCAAACGCTTTTTTACTTTTATATTCCAAAAACGATTAAAATTCATCAAACTTTTTGTAAATAACTATGTGTTAATACAATTGCTGTATTTTAATAAAGGTTTTATGCATATTGCAATTGTTTAATAAATTTGTTATTGCAAAGACATATAATTTTCAAATAAACAAAGAGATTAGAAAATTTTTGAAAACTTTTCTTTTTTTAACGTTACTTAGTATTAAATCAATAAATTAAAGAAAATATTTATTGAAACGAATCATAAATATTAGTAAAAAATTATTTAAACAAATTATTGTTGTTATTTACCAACTTTTTACAGAATACACCTAGAAAGTTGCAGTTTTTTCCTAATTTTGCAATTTACTAAATCTTATATGATCACAAATAAAGAGTAAAAATTGAATTAATATTTAAACAATTTTAAAACAAATTATTGTTGCTATTTACCAACTTTTTACAGAATACACCTAGAAAGTTGCAGTTTTTTCCTAATTTTGCAATTTACTAAACCTTATATTATT